GGAGAGAGAGAGAGAGAGACTGAGAGAGAGAGAGAGAGAGAGAGAGAGTAAGAGAGAGAGAGAGAGAGAGAGAGAGACTTTGAGTAGTAAACAGCATTAGTGAATGAGGTGTTAATTGGTGTATCAAACCTGTGCGGCGGGTAATAAATATGCGTCGCGTGATTTGCCAATCAACTCATCGACATCGTCCACATTGTCCAATAGAAATGGTTTGATCATGATCAATTTGCCCACACGTTTGGACCACTTTTTCCCGATTGTCATTTTGAGTCGATTCGACCACTTCTTCCTCTTTTCCGCCCTATAAGACAAAAGCATCCGAAGTCTGGCCAACAAAATGGCAAATATCTCGTCAATATTGGGCGCCACCAGACCTTTACCCGCGAAGTCAACCAACTCTGTGGTGACCACTCGTATGCGGGCCTTAGTGTCCGTCTCTTTCTTCAAATCGCGTACAATTTTATCCCTAATACTGTCCGGCATTTCTCTGAACAATATATTCATCGAAAAGGCCAACAAATCTTCTTCTGAAAGCTGATCCCCAATTAATCTCTCGTCGGACAAGACATCAATAATCACCGCTTTGTCTGCCATTCCTTTGAGCAACAATTTGCTGCAAGTGATGGCACCGTCTAAATAGCCGACCACATCGTAACCATCATTTGGTTCGAGTTGTCTCAACAGTTTAATAAAGTACTGATTCAGCTCTTTGATCGTGGTTATTTTGGACATTTCTCGGGTCCAATTGAGCCCTACTACTGGCCGATTGATCGTTTGTGCCAACTGCTCAAACATGGTGAAATTCAACAAAATAGTTGGCATTAAATATACGGCTCGACCGGTGGTCACGGCGTTTAGACGGATGTGGGTTTCGGTGGGAATTACAAATTTCTGTTTTAACAAATTTGCCCTGGTTTGTTTCAATTCGTCCAGGTGCTTTTTTACATTGCCAATATTGCCCACCTCGTAGTCCTTTAACATACCGATGGTTATACTCTTGACGTGATTTGTCGATATTTTTATAGTCCACTCCCTCTCCAACTCCTGTTGCAACTCCACGGCAAACATCGACTCGAGCCCTATCTCGCCGAGAGTCAAGTGATTGGGCGTCACCTCCGGGTCGATACCCAACGCGCGCCACAACTCTGCGATCAAACGTGACTTTTTACTGCCCGACTCTTTGGCACTCATATCCACTTTAATCTATAAAATTGTGTAAATATTGTAAAATTGTTTTAAAATTTAATATCAAACATACATGAGATGTGACGACCGGTTGTTTGATTGATAAAAGTTTGTCCAAAACATCGCAACACGAGTTTATTCTCTGCTTTTTCATTATTGTAAACGCCAACAACTGATCCGTCCCTTCAAACACTCCCACATCACCGATGGGTCCGTATTGTATGGCGAGTCCGTGCAGACCATCTCTACGTCTCTCTTCACATATACGCTCACACATGGAGTTCCCGAAAGCATAGTTTGATTGCCCGGCGTTTCCTTTACCACAAGCTATGGACGAAAACATTACGAAATAATCTAACTTATAGTCCAATTGTCGGGTCAGTTGATCCAGATTTGCAAAGATCTTGTGTTTTGTATCAATAGATGCGCAAAACTTGTCAAACGTTAATTTTTCTATCAAACAGTTATTCAATTCTATCGCCAAATGAAATACCCCTCCAATGGGTCCCAACTTTTTCGCCTCATTTAGCAATTGTTTTGTGCCTTCAATTGTAAACCCATTGGCAGTCGAGACAATCCATTGGCACTCAAAGAGTTTCATTTTTTGGTAAAAAATTTTGAAACGATTGAAAACGCATTTCTGATAATCAGTCTTAAGGCCCGACCGGGAGGTGACCACAAACTTTCGGGCGCCGAAGTATTGCATCCATGGAATCAATTCCAGACCAAAACCACCCAAACCTCCGGTTATTATATAGACTTTGTTTGGATCGAAGAATGTCTTAATCATTACATTCATATTTACGGCCGGTTTTATCGCTTTCAATGACCGCCTATCCATCTCTTCGTCTCTCATTTTAATGATTACTTTTCCCATATGTTTACCGGTTGTCATATAACGGAACGCTTTGTCCGTATCCTTGGCCTCAAACAATGTATAGTTAATTGGTTTAACGCAACCATTCGTACAGTTCTTGTGAACCCAATTGTAAAAATTCGGGAAAAAATCCATTTCATCCATAATAACGATATCGATAACAATACCGATAAATTGAATATTGCGCACAAAATCAAACATGCCTATTTGCTTGTTTTGAAACATGTCGTATCGACCGATCTCCACAAAGCGACCGCTATTGGCCACACACTCGTACGACGCGTCCAACTTCTCGCCCGCCAATGAATTCAACACAATATCCACACCCTTTCCAGCCGTCAGTTTCAACACTTGACTCTTGAATACAATATCTCTTGAGTTAAAGATCCGATTCTCCGGTATATTGTATTCATTTATCAAAAACTGTTTCTTCTCTTCCGTCCCAACCGTCGCATAGATATCGCAGTCGTAATGCTTACACATATTGATGGCCGCCTGACCCACACCTCCCGCCGCAGAGTGTATTAATATACTTTCACCTGTCAATTGAAAATAACATTAATACATCAGCTGTTGGTCTAGTGATAAAACACTAGAGTGAGTAAAGTTAAGTCATAAAGTCCCTAGTCTGATAAAATTTAATAGAAATTTTGTAAGCAAACAATACAGTATACAGTATATAATGTAACTTCGCTTATGCCGGACATAATGTATAGTGTTTACTGTATTGTTTGCCTACAAAGTTTTTTCAGTAACCATAGTCACCCCGATCTTAGTATAGAGAGTACTCTTCAAGTTTAGGGCAATTAAGGCTATCAGTAATTTTTCAAAGTTTGCCGACTCATAATCTAGTTAATATGGACGCTAGATGGCTAACATATTTACGTATATTTATCTATTTGTTAATTAATATTTTGTAAAATGTTATTTGTTAATTATTAAAAGCATTTGAAACCAAATTATAATACTTGTGTACAATTAAAAAGTAGTGTAATTTTTTTCTCAGATTATGGTATAAAATCACAATTCAAATTACAATTGTAAGTAGTGTAAAATTATGTGATTATAAAACAAACCTCGTTTAAGATTAGCCCGTTTGATGAGAGCGTAATACAGTGTGCTATATGTGCTCAATATAGTGGTCGCCTCTGCCATCGACCAGTGCTCGGGAACTGTAGTCATGCTATGAATGCTGGCGTTCAATGATGTGGCAAAAGTACGGCCCATATCCATACCCATCACCCGTTCCCCGGTATCCACGCGACGGCCCACGTATTCACAGCCCAACACACAATCGGTAAACAGCTGTTCCGGACCGGCAAGTATACGACCTAAAAAATACAAATTTAGTTATCGAATTAAATTGTGTACAAATTAATAAATTAACTTATTATATAAAATATAGCAATATATTTGATTACCTGAAGCGATCATAACGTCGTGAAATGAAATGCCCGAACAGTATATCTCAATATGTTTGAATAACAATTAAAAATACAATTAAATACTATTGTGACTAATGATTAATGAATGACAAACAACAATTAAAAGTTTCAAACAGTAATTAGAGTACTATAACGTCGGAATCTCAATATGAAAGTAGGGTTGATTTTGAAGCTTTACTAACTCCACAACAGAATCTGAAGAGAAACTCTTGAGATTTTTATGGTAATACCGAGTTTTTGACAATAAATTAATTTTCATAAAAATGGATAGTAGAACATATGTAGAACACATTTGAGGGATAAAAAAAACATTTAAAAATTTTTAAAATTTTAAAAATTTGATTTAGGATAATATTTTTTTTAATATTTTGCCTTTGTATTATATTCTTTCATCATGATAAAAATTAAATTAAAATATGGCCACTTTGTTAAAACTTAAGACAACTCCTTTAGTTATCGAATTAAATTGTGTACAAATTAATAAATTAACTTATTATATAAAATATAGCAATATATTTGATTACCTGAAGCGATCATAACGTCGTGAAATGAAATGCCCGAACAGTATATCTCAACCCGAGTTTTGGGCATTTCTTTGTTATTTGCATTCCAATACTTTTTAATTTCGGGTAATTTCCGGGAATCATACCATTGAATACCCGCTAAATCTCTTGTTGTGCCGGAGTTTAGATAATAATCATTTGAAACACATTTATCAAAATCATTGGGAAGTTTTAAGTGTCTATAAGTTCCCAGTTTTCCCCCTTTGATAACATTAGCGACCAAATCGTTGGCCAATATATCAGAATAGGGTTTAGTATTGAAGTCAATGTCTGTCACACTATTGGTGTCCATATGGAAGATATACCGGAAGTTCTCTCCGCCCGGTTCTAAACGCAAACAATTCATTAAACCAATGATACCATTAATACACGAGTCATTTGCCACAAGCCATACGTTATCCGTTTTATTGTCCGCTTCTTTAGCGGCGATCAGTTTTTCCTGCAATACTTCAAACCATTGATTATAATCACCAGTTATTTTGATAACATTGCGTTTTTCAGGTGTTATAGGTTTGTCGATGATTTTTCTAAACATTAGGCATTGAGTACCGATTGTATCGCTTTTTGCTGCGATTAAATTAAATCCAGTTTTAGTGGCAATCGATACAAACTTTTTGATTCTTAAATCCAATTCATTATTACTGGAAATTGTGTTTCCCGTCAAAGACATGAACGCAATCTCCGGTTCCGTAAACTTATACCGAAATACCGATAATAGGAATCCATTGCTGTTTATGGAGTCAAACAAGTCTTGTGTGAATTTATTCAAATCCATTTCCCATAAGTCTTGTGAGTCTCTCATTATAACCAAATGCGAGGGTTTTAATGGTATGTCATCTTTAAGTTGCCATTCAGTAGCTCTTTCTCTATACAATTCATTCACCGATTGTTTACTTTTAACAATTAGTTTGTAATCGACTTCAAAGGGAAATAGACGAAAATTTGTGACAATCTGTTCCACATCTTTGGCAATAAAACTGTTACTCATATTAATTTCAGTGATATTTATATCACTATTTGTTACATAGTTTTCGCAAACAATATCCACCAACGATCTGATCATACGTTCATTCTTCTGGATCTGATTCACCAAATCTTTACTCAAATCGTATTCACTATTTGTTTGCATTTCATCCAAAATGTTTGCCCCATCTCTACCGTTCAATTGATTACGATTTTTATCGACAACTTCTGCCAATAATTTATCAAATGTGCGAAACATAACATGATTTTCAGTGCTTCCGCTCCGCAATTCTTGCAGCACTTCTTCAGTGATTTGTTGATAATTAAAATCGCATTTCATTTCTTTAACACACAATTGCTTTACTTTCGCTGCCATTGACTTACAAACCTATGATTTAGTCATTATATCATTAGTTATATATAAAATTTATATAATTGAAAATTTTAAAATTACCTCTAAATACTTGGACACAGCGGCCGATTGGCAGTCATTGATGGCGTAATTATCATCGTTGGCGCAAAACTCGGCCGAATCCAAGACCAGACCAGTGGTGTCCGTACGGCGGGGAACGGGTAATACGACCACCTCTTCGAGTTCAACGCCGGGCGAAACCAATTGTTTTGTATCCAAATTGTAATAAAACGGTATTCGCGACGAGTATTGGGCGAAGCGTTCGTTAAATCGGACTCTTTCTCTCTCCATAACCGCCGCGACTGCGCTCTGTTCGTCGGATACTTTGCCGCCGACCGCGCCGTCCATATCTAAGTTCAATTGAACGCTGTCGTCGGCGCCGTCGCCCCCACCGGTCGTCACCTCTTTTTGACTCCTGTGTCGTTTCAAAGCGTCAAACATAAGGCGCGGGTCGAGCCGTAACTTGCGGATCAGCACCGGTAACAGCATTTTGCGAAAGGGCACCGATAGGGCGCGCGATTGCAGCAACGCATCCATATAAGTGACGAACCGTCCGTCCCATTCGCACTCACCGTAGAACTCGTTGAAGTCATTTGTGCCCACTTTGTGGAGCCGTTGAAACGCCGGCCCGTAGTCTAAGCCCATAATTCCCAACTCTTTGTATATGTCGTGCCTCTCAACCGAGTACTGGCTCTCAGATAGTTTGCACTCATTTTCGTAGAGCAAGTGCTGCGCTATTAGCACGTCATCGCCCGGCGCACGCATTTTGCCCGACACGCATGCGTTTTCGTTCTCGTATATTGTAAACTCACCTACATTTGATTGATTTTATTAAATCAGCATATTTAACTATAATTAGACAATTATATTTAAAAATTATATTATACTAAAACTTTACAATATATCTAACCTGTTAATGGAAGATATTTCACTGTAAGAACAGTGTTTTGGTCCAGGGTTAAAAATGTGGCCCTTTTTAATTGAACATTCTCAAATATAACTGGTACGCTGTACCAAAGTTTGCCCATATCGGCCGCCAGTTTACGCCAGGCTAACATTAAATAGCCGGTGGCCGGGAATATAGGATTGCCGTCTACGGAGTGGTCCAAATAAAACTCGTCCTCTTTTGTGCCACAATTGACGACAACATTCATGTCAGCGGCTCTTCCCCGACACCAGCGCTCCGGATATATACGGCGCGGAATGACTAAACTGTGATCCCATTTGATCAACGAGTTAATCGACTGCGTATTCCTGGCCACCGGCCACTCACACCGCGGGTACAGCTTATTCGGTGACAGATTAACGCCCAACTCGTACAGAGTGGCCAAACCGGACAAAAATAAATCCATATTCTTGTCGTTGGAATCCTTTTTAATGAGCGACACATAAGAGCACTCATTGAGTGTTTCGGTTATTATTTTGCCAAACAGTGAATGCGGGCCCAACTCTAGGACAATGGCGTCGGCCGGCAGTTGTCTAATGCGGTCGTAAAACATGACGGGGTTAACGAAATTGTAAGCAAAATACTCGCCCGACGCGTAACGCAGGGCCTCCTCTGTCGGGTCGGCGCTCATGAGTGAAGTGGACAACCATTTCTTGGAGCGCGGCTTTGGATGCGGTATATGTTTATTGATGGCGTCGATCAACGGTTGGGCAGCGGTTTGGATGTATTTTGAATGATAGGGAATATTATTGCTCTCTAATTGGCGGACAAATATTTTTTTGTCGGCCAATACTTTAATCGTTTCCTTCATCTCTTTTTCCAGGCCTTTAAAGTATGAAATTATGTATTTATTTATCATTTAATTAATTATAAAGTACTAGATAATTCCCAGTACCCCGGCTTCCCCGCTTTGAAAATATAATAAATTATTTGCAAAACTAAAATAAAATTAGAAATAAAATTCATAAATTTGTGACTCAATGTGAAAATGTTTTGCTCAGTGAACATAACTTTTATGTCTATTAATGTTTTTAACTTTTATCAGTTTATGAATAATCTCATCAACTATTTTACGTTTGAAAAAGTGTTATAATTTTAGTTATAGTGATTTACCGGATATAACGACACTATCCTTAGCGTTATTACAGGCGATGTAAACACCGTTTGGACACAACTTCTGGGCCTCAGACTTGGGTAACCCCACGACAGCCATCAGTCCTTTGGGTATAGTTTTGTTATTTTCGGTGACTATTCCTCGGATGGATGTGACGACCATTGCTTCCCTTGTGGTGAGACACCCGTCAGCGTAAGCACAGGCTATCTCTCCAAACGAGTGGCCAATTATACCGTCGGGTGTGATGTCCAGCGCTTTCATCACTTCAAACAACGCTATCTCTATAGCAGTCGTCGAACAGAACTTTGCGGTCATTGAAGCCATGGATGCCTTGTCTTCGGATAATAACATTGTTTTCAAATCNGACCATTGCTTCCCTTGTGGTGAGACACCCGTCAGCGTAAGCACAGGCTATCTCTCCAAACGAGTGGCCAATTATACCGTCGGGTGTGATGTCCAGCGCTTTCATCACTTCAAACAACGCTATCTCTATAGCAGTCGTCGAACAGAACTTTGCGGTCATTGAAGCCATGGATGCCTTGTCTTCGGATAATAACATTGTTTTCAAATCGATTCCGAATTCGTGTAGTATTTGATGGCATTCTTCCACTTTATCGGCGAATATCTTGATTTTCATCAAAGCCTTAGCCATTGCCGGCCACTGACCGCCCAAACCCGGGAACAGTAGCCATAGGGGTCGAGCACTCTTCCCTTTTAGAAACCCAATTTGCTGTCTCTTGTATTCGTAATTAATATTATTACTACTTTCCGACACCTTTGTTATCATAAGTGAACCTAGTTAGAATTAATGAATTAAATTATTTAAATAATAAACCTTATAATTAATACAATTAATTCCTACCCCTGAATGGCATTCCCGATGAGTTAACATTAGGCGTGTATTTCATAGTTTGGGCCAAAAGTGCCAAAAAGTCATTCGTCACTCTCTTTGGGTTGTTTTGTATGAAATCCATCACATATTTGACCGCATCTTCAGTTCGGCCGCAAATGTTGACAATAGACCCTTAGCAAAGGCGTTAACTCAGTCCATCACTGGTTCCCAACTTATGGTTGGGTTCGAGCAATACGTGTGCGTTCGCACCGCCGATACCAAAATTGCTCACTGCGGCCAACCCTAGCATAACAGGCATACAAAATTATTTATTAAAATAGATATTATCTGATCACGTTAACATTTGTATATTTTATTTGCCAATAATCTTAAGTTGCTAATACATAGATGTATTGAAATCAAACCTGGTTTGTATGGCGTCGACTCCACAATAGGTTTTATAGGCGGACAATAGGGAAGGCATTCATCCTTCAGTTGTTTCATATTAAGGTTGGGAGGAATGCACTCATTCTCGTATACAATACACACTTTAATGAGTGCCGCCATCCCTGAACCGGCCTCCGAATGACCGATGTTACTCTTCAACGCCCCCAAAAGCAGGGGTTGGGTACGTCCCGGAGCCTTAACGTAGGCATTATATATGGCCTTTATTTCCTGCGGATCGCCCGCCTATTTATAACAATTTTTTATTAAACAATTGATTGCATTAAAGTTTCAAAAAAATATAGTGTAATAATAATTATAAATTAATAAATTTCTAAATTTTACCTTGGTGCCGGTACAGTGAGCTTCGAAATAGGTGAGGTCAAGCGGATTGACATTGACTTCGTTGTAAGTGTCAATCATGAGCTCTTCCTGTGCGTCGGCCGATGGGAAGAACATACCGCTCGTCTTATTGCCATCGATGTTCATTTTAGCGTTGACCATGGTCGCATAAACACGTCGAGCATTGCACCGGCGCTGTAGGAAAGCACAGCACACGGCCTCGCCTTTGATGAAGCCGTCGGCGTTCTGGTCGANGTTGACCATGGTCGCATAAACACGTCGAGCATTGCACCGGCGCTGTAGGAAAGCACAGCACACGGCCTCGCCTTTGATGAAGCCGTCGGCGTTCTGGTCGAGGACTGCGGCCACACCTCTGGGCGAACACAGACCCGACTCCTGTTGGAACTGCAGTACGAATGGCTCGAACAGCATATGAGTGCCGCAAACGATCGCCGTATCGATGTTTCCTATTGTTTAACATATGGTAAACATTAAATGCATTTTAACCGCAATTCTTCGTAAAATATTGTGCTTTATTTTTAGTGATTCGTCGCATACCGAGTCTCATATCATTCATAGCCAGAGTAGTGGCCGATAGACTGGCCGAACAGGCGGTGTCCACCAGCAGTGACGGGCCCTTGAAATCAAACACAAATGATATACGACTGGCGTAAAGGGATTTCAAATTGGAGAAAGTCTGCATGGTCGCTCTCTGCAAACTTTGCTTCATATCGGGCTGAATTTCGTCGGGATAGCCTTCAGCCATGGGATATATGGATACTCCAACGTATACACCAGTCTTACCACCACGTAGTGATTGCGGACTTACACCTGCATGAATTTGTATAATTATTAATTTTGTACTGAGATTCAAAGGACCGATCTCTAGGGAGGAGGGGGAAGATTTTGGGAAATATAAACTTTCTCAAAAGTGTCTAACATTATAATATAATTGTGTAATTATTAATAGTTTGTTTGTAGTTTATAAAAATTTAATCTAAAATTAAACCAGGCAAAAATTAGAATTGGAAATAAACAGGGCTACAGTAACATCCGTCCTACATGTGTTTACATACAACGTACACACCGTATAAAATGACATAACTTTACATATAATACTATGTCAAATATATTTTTAAAGTGATTTTTTTATAACCATAGTTAATGTTATCTAACCGTCCAATAAAATCCGATCGCGCCGTTTTTGTAATTACTCCTAAACGGAATGAGCTAGATCAAATCTGTAAACTGTAAAATGATGGTCCACATATCTAGTTTTTTATGACAAAAAATTATTGAAATCACGTGATCAGAACATAAAAATTTTTGGGTCATTTCGAAATGGCATGGTTTTAGCCCAGTTGAAAGGGGGGTCGAAAGGGGGCGGGTATGCTATTCGGTAGAGGAGATGTCAAAGTATATGATAGCAAAGTTTGATTAAGATTAGTCAATCCATCTACGGGAAATTGTCAATTTTATTAACATTAGGTCTATGGGGAAAAATGGTTCTGAAGTCGACCTTTTATAACAACAAAAATGTAGTATAAAAAGGTCAAAATTCGGCTATTTTTGCCCAAATATTGTGTCAAATTTCTTGAATATTTTGTTCGCTACGAAAGAATAGTTATCCAATGTTTATGAAACTTTGCTATCATATACTTTGACATCTCCTCTACCGAATAGCATACCCGCCCCCTTTCGACCCCCCTTTCAACTGGGCTAAAACCATGCCATTTCGAAATGACCCAAAAATTTTTATGTTCTGATCACGTGATTTCAATAATTTTTTGTCATAAAAAACTAGATATGTGGACCATCATTTTACAGTTTACAGATTTGGTCTAGCTCATT